TAGATAGCTGATGAAACGTAGATATTTAAAAAAACATCTGCCGAACAATTGCCATAATAATTTTTTTAGAAATCCCTTCGAGAAAAATAAACTTTCTAATATATTTTTTTATTTCTTTACTTTCACTTGTCTACTACGGTCTATTCAATTAACTTACGCACTATTTTAGTGATTGACGTCTTAAAGCATCTAATTACACATGTAAAAATGCAATAATAATAATAATAAGATACACAAAATAAACAAAAATAAATGTAGTAGCCTAAAAATCGGCAATTTTCAATAAAAAAATTAAAAGTCGAATATCTCGAAAAGGGTTAAGTTTAGGGTAGGGTGTTTCATAGTGAAATAAGTCAGAAATGATGGGTACTCCACGCCCTTAACGGATTTAGCACGATTTTTCTTGTAACCCTGTATATATATGTAGTAATTAACGCACACCCTCAGACACCCCAATTAGTATATTATGTTATAATCATATTACATACACTGAATTTTTAGTTAAACATTTTTATACATTGATTATTTATCAAATTAGTTATACTGATTCCGGAAGAATGTTGTGGTCACAGTACAAATCCACGAACGCAAAGACTTTATCGTGCTTGAAATAAAGTTAATTTTTCTTTATTTTTATTGAATGACAGAATTAGTAATAATACAAATAAAACTGCACTCTTAAAATACTTATTGCCTTAATTACGGTCCATTTCAGTTTGTTTTGACTATACAGATTTAGTGTGACTGTAATTAGTAGTAGATTTAATTATTTTTGGGATAAAAAATTACCTGTATTAAAAATGATAGGAATCGATTCAGTTAACGATTCTGAACAAACTACTTACTGCTGCTATTGTAGTGTGCGTGAGAATTTGTTTATAATATGTTATATTTGTGTTTGTCACGCCCGGAGGGAGGCAAAGCGAGCGAAATGAAACTGATAGCATTTTTGAAAATACCTACTCGCGTCGCGTTTCAGCACTTCACAATCCTCTTAATCGTCCCGTAAACTTCCACTGCTGCACATGGAAGGATCTCTCCCGATGTAGGGAGGATTTGCCTTAGTCGTCACGCTTGGCATAGGATTGACGATCGCAGAACCAGACGTGAGCACCTCTGGCAATGTTGCCTGTCGCCGGTCTGGATATTTTACATCTGAAGTGAACAAGGTGGTTCTACCGCCATCTATCGGAAAACCAAACCCGAAGTCGCCTCTTACGAGACCCACGGGATAAAATCTAATGAGGAATTCTCTTATGCCGCACTTACACGCCAACTTCGACTGTACTGTGTGTGTAACACTAGTTCTGTGTGGAATTCGAAACAGCTATTATTTAGAATAGGTTATTTTAATTCGACTCCCTAGACTATATTCTTAATATCTACAAAAATACTGGTCAAAATGTATGTATGTATAACACTCTTTCTGTGTGGGATTCGAACCAGCGATTATTAGATTAATGTAATTATAACACGGTCGGAAGAACGTCATCATTATTATTCGAATTTAGATTCTTTACCATTCTTTCCCTCCAAAATTAATATGCGAGACATTATCCAGAGTAATTGGCTAAAATACTTTATATCTTGCAACGTTAAATGAGTGTAATTATGTAAAATATTATAATTTCTCTATATCAGGGAGGCGAGGATAAGGCGTAAATTCTGCCCTTTCTAAACCGTCTAAGGTATCTTAAAATAAAGATACAATGTCATACAATAAATAAAATGTTTGATTCATTTCTATTTCAGAACAACAACAACAACAGTGTGAGAAAAAGATTAAATCAAATTCTACTGATTGTAACATAAATGATTTTCGTAAAGGAAACCTTGATTTAGAAAGCCCTACAATTAAATTAAAGTCTAAACTGAAAAGAGACACCACGACCAGTTATTAAAAAAGGGAAGCATCCTGCAAAAATTATGAAAAAGAAAATTTTGAAACGAAGTGTAAATAAACTTAGGGAAAACACATCTGAGGCATCAATAAAATACATTTTTGAATGTGATGATTGTAGAAAAAAGTTTTTAACAAAAGATATTCTCACCGACCACATATCATACATTCATAAGACGCAAAAGAACTCAGATGCAGTTCAGACACAAGTTGAACAAACTCCAGTACCACAACTAATGGATATATATATAACTGTGATATTTGCGAATATAAAACATCTCAAAAACGTTGCATTTTAGCTCATATTAAAGCGCACGTCGCTAAGCAAGCATGTAATAATTGTGATTACAAATGCATTACTAAGAGTAATTTGCAAACACATATGAAAATACACACCGCTGAATAACCTTTTTGGTGTAACATCTGTGAATATAAACTATTACTAAAAGTGATTTGCAAAAACGTATAAAAATACACACTGCCGAAAAACCCTTTTCGTGTAATATCGTGAATATAATCTAACAAAACAAAAAATACAACCCTGAAAAACCCTTTTCGTGTAATATCTGTGAATATAAATCTAATAAAAAAAGTAATTTGCGAAAACATATAAAAATACACACCGCTGAAAAACCCTTTTCGTGTAATATCTGTGAATATAAATCTAATAGAAAAAGTAATTTGCAAATCAAGGCGGCACCTATATACACACCCGTGAAAAACCTTTTTCATGTAATATCTGTGAATATATATTACAAAGTATTTGCAAAAACATATAAAAATAACACTCCGAAAAACCCTTTTCGTTAATATCTGTGAATATAAATCTAATAGAAAAAGTAATTTCAAAACACATATGAAAATACACACCGGTGAATAGCCTTTTTCGTGTAATATCTGTGAATATAAATCTATTACAAAAAATCATTTGCAAAGGCATTTGAATATACACACTGGAGCAAAATCTTCGTGAGGTATCTGGTAAAATATGTACAATAGCTGTGAAAACCCGCTTCGCTGTGTTAGATTTTGTCGAATATTTATTCATGTGTGTATATTTTATTAAATTAGTAATTTTTTTTTAAATTAAGAACACGTGACTTGTGACATTTTTAAGTTTTTTTTTCTTACTTACATATTTTTTCATTCATTATACAAAAGTACTTTACAGGTAGTCATGTACTGAATACCTATATTACAATACATTCTTATGCACCACATTTACTGTTTTATGTTCTGGAGCATTGACTTGATTGATCAACTCACTAGGAGTTGACCATGTGAAAAACGGTATTCTGCCAAATTCACCCCACGATATTGGAACATTTGACCTTGTGCCTTATTGATAGTTATACTGTAAGCCAATCGTATAGGAAACTGTAACCGTTTAAAACAGGATGGTAAATCGTTTGAAATTCATTGAATTCGTGGCATAAAAACGGATTTTCCTTTTTCTTTGGCAGTTAGAATTACTGCCTCAATAATGTTCAGAAGTTGTTTTATACATAATATTGTACCGTTACATAATTTTAGTGAATTGAGATTTCGTAATAATATGACTGGTGATCCAATTTTTAGCTTCAATACATGCAAAGGCATACCAGGCGGATTCGGTGAATTTAAAAATTTTGTTGGGAAGTTCACACTTTCGTCTTGATTCATCATTGTGTCTATTGATTTATACAGTTTTTCATCAGGTGTCGTATTCTGTATACTTTCATTAATTTGGTGTACTACATCATTTTTGTAGCTAAAACTGATCGCTCACACAACCATGTCCTATTCAGATAATTCTGTTCAATAGATGGATAAACTTTTTCAATAAGTTCTTCTTCTACATCTACTATATCGCCCCCTTAGAACTAAAATCGATTATCCGACATGAACCTAACTTTATAGTATCGCAATTTAAAAGTTTGACCTTTGACGCTATAAATAAGTATTAAAATTTAGTTATCCTTGTGATTGAAGATTCAATTATGAAAGAAAGACAAACAGTTATTGGATTTAAATATGAATAACTTAAAAAACCGCACTGGAAATTACTAAAAAAATACGAAAAATGCTGACAAGGTAAGACACTTAATCAGTTTTACCTGTATATTACAAATATTATTAATCTGTTATTATTTTATAAAGTATCGCATTAATTGTAATTATTGATAGTTTTTCAGATTCTCTACTACAATAACTATAATTCAAAGAATGTTAGAACATGTAAACACTAAGAACCCGGTTAAAACATGATTTTGGAATACTTAGTTGGTTTTACTTGTATAAACTTCCAAATTTACTGAATGAAATCCAATTACTTGCAAGACTTTTGTACTTTTGTATGTGTTTTAATATAAATAATAATATAAACGAACTATTATTTACTGAAAGAAACAAGGTAAAATAAAAAAAGCAGGAATTAAATCACGAAACGTCTTTATTTTGATTAGTGGAAAATCCCGACTACTTAAATCTTAAAACTAAAATAATACTGAAATAACCATAGAATAATTTTTTCTTGTTAATTTTCTGTGATTGTACTACTCATTGTCAGATAAATCAGACTCTTCAGAAATTGCTGCTTCAGGTAAAAAGTCAACAGTTCTGTTATCTATAGCCAAAGACTGAAACCAGTCATGGTATTCTTCAGGTATAACACCCTTTTCGCATAGTTTTAATAAATCGTTCTTTTTGGCTACAGTTATGGGCAATGGTTTGTTGTACAGCTGTTGCAAAGAAGGACATATTAACTCACAGCTAGTCGAAGAGGTCGCATGTTCACAGGCGTCTGGTTGCTTCGATTTAAGCCTTGTCGCATAGCCGTGACTTTCCGATACAGTAGTTGCAGATGTATTTAGTTGTGTTCCTGAGCAAGTGACGTCCATTGTCATGAAATTGGTTGACATATCATAGTTATAGTATATGTTTCGATCACCTTTTATGTATTTCATCCTTTTTATCTTAAGCCATTAAATTCTCTGACCCTCCGTGTTTGTTGTCTTGTTCAAAATTATAGTGCTCGCTAATTGTTTCAGATGTTTGAATTCAGAATACGTGAACTGTTTTACGTTGTATTTGTTTTTTCATCACTTTCTTGGTGCCCTTTTTATACGTGTCTTGATCGGGCATCTTTGTATATATTGATCCAGTCCGATAAACAATACACGACACGATGTTTTTTCGCATATTCAATTGAGCTATGCATTGAGTCGGCCTCCATGTAAGAATGGCCAGACTCCAAAAACTTGTGCTCAATAATCTGTAATTGTTTGCTCTGATTGATAACCCGTAAGAGTAAAGCGGCTATAAACTGATTTCGGTTTTGTCCCCCGCATGTATCGGAGAACAAACTAACCTCTGTTACATTTTCTGGAATGCAGTTTGTTAAATAATGGGCTAGAATAGTGCCAACTTCCGAGCTACCTTTTTTGCCGTGTACCTCTGTCCATACGAAGCAATATGCTTCGTTTGGTAGCGCGCTTTCATATAAGGTTAAGTTATAAACAGTCAATTTTCTGGTATAATAAAGAAGGCCAACCTCAGTACTAGGATTTTGTAAAATAGCTTGAAGATCAAACGTTGCTGATAAAAAGTTTGGTTCTTTTTCTGCTCTCTCCTTATCCTTGGCCTTTTCAGCATAGCATGCTCGTTTCCTTTCTATGTGATCTTCATAGTTTTGTATTAAATTTGCTTTTTCATCTGCGTTTGCACGATTGTATTTAGGGCAGACAAGACATTGGTCTTTCTTGGGAACGAAAAAACTCAAGTTAAACTCCTTAGAAAAAATTCATCTATAAGTTATTTCTGACACTGGTTTTGTATTACGTTCTTCGCATTGATTAACATACAAAGAATACATCTTAGCTAAGGAAAGCCCAGCACTTAAGTATTTGCGTTTCGATTGCTTCCTAGTGTAGTGACTTTCCATTGTTGGGAAAGAAGCTATATGGCTTTTGATTTCTTCTATTTTTTCAGGTGGGGTTTTATTTGGAGTTTCTTTACGTCCACAAGGATCTTTATCTTCTAAATAACAGCAAAATTGATCTGTTCGATTTATAGCATTATTCACACTAAAAGGCGAAATACTGAAAGTACTGCAAAAAAATATAGAACATACATACTTTTGTTGTCCTTCAACTACAAAAAAACATTTTTTGGTAAAAGAACGTTCTGTTGTCCTTTTCCGGTCTTTTAATCTTTAAATCCTTTCGTTGGCCTAACGCTCACATGCTTCAACAGAAAAGCTTTTCGTCCTACGAAATCAAGACTCCAGTATAGTCTGCATAAAGTTTGTCTTACACTTTCAGTAAAATTATTAGAGCATTGGTATTTACATTTAGAACAGTCAACGGTTGTAGGAACTTTCGGGTTTCTGACCTTTTTCCCAGTAACATATGATAAGCCTTCCGCTCTTCGTTTTTTTGCGACGTTAATTTTCCAAGACGCGGGATCCGGTTGGCGCCAGCGTGATTGATATATATACAGTGTGTCCGGTTACCGGTGTCGGAGCTTTTAATGCTATAAAATATAATCAATTTCATCGACAAATCATGTCTCAAATCTCATTTAGACCTAGCTGTATTTAAATGGCAGCCATTTAAATTTTTCAGTGTCACCACCTCGACCCCGCGCATTAAAATTACAATATTCACCGATGTAGAAGTCCTACATTCTTAAAAGATGTCTCATTGGATAGATAAAGATACGCGTAATAAAATAAAAGCAAACTTTTAACTGCAAAATTGTATTTAGATCCTAAAAAGACTTAGAAAAGAAAAAAAATGTAAAAGAAATCGCTTATTTTTTCACATTTTCGACTTTAATGAAAAAAGTAAGTCATTTACCTAATGATTTTTTACATTAATCAGATAGATCAGAACATATCCTAACTGAAAACAAGAGTGTACAAAAGATCGTTTCGAAAAAGATTTCGCAGAAATATGGATGATCCAGATTATGAACAAAAAGCCCAAAGACCAGATAAGACTGATGAAGATTTACAGATGTCGGAAAGTGAATTTCTTAAACAAATCTAACTTTCTACCAGCAAGGAGGCGAACTACAGAAATGGATAATAAATCAATGTTCCAGTCGTGAATGGTTGCACATTTGGCATGATATGTAAACGAAAAGAAAACATCAGTTGCGCTCTGTTAGTGAAATCTGTTGTGAAACCGCAAAACATATCTAATGTCCGTCGATAAAATATGGTAGAGCTAACGAACAACCAGCATTGACTCAGTTATATCGACAGGAAAATATTGCAGTACTATACTTTGTGACTATTTTTACTACTAATATTATGGTGTTTTGCGTAAGTCGAATAGAAGCTATCCTCGAGAGTATTTGTAAAATATAACAAAATATAACTAGATAGGCAAAATTTCCGAATATGCAAAAAATACATAAAAACAATTCATCCTACGGCGTTTGCGTAAAACTAAAAATAGGCTACGATCGCCAGGAATGAAATTTGTAAGAGCGAGCGAGACGCATGCACATCTTTCGTTATGTAGGCGCCAAGCGACAGAGTGGGAGGGGAGCGGCGGACACATCTTTGCAGCCAACATTTTTAGAATCAGCTGGTGCGCTGAAAATATACAGAAAATATTTTTATTATTTGAAATTATTTTTTATTTAACTTACGTTACCAAAAATCATTTTTCTCATATAAGTAAGTATTTATTTACACTTTTGATATTTATTTTTGATTTTGACTGCCTCATTGGTCTAGTGGCTGTAGTTGTGTGACAGCTAATCATGAGGTCCTGGGTTTGAATACCAGGTCGGGACAAAAAAAACAATTTATGGAGTGTTTCTGTCAAGAAATTCTCAATAGCTATCCAGAGTCACGAAGTCGGCGGTGTCTTACCCCCGTGCCCCGGAAAGCACGTAAACCCATTGGTTGGTGGTGGTAAATCTCCCAGTACTAGTTACTGCCTACTAATCAAGATCAGCATATACTGGTTATTAGTAAAAGAAAAAGATTTAAAATAAGGAGCACGTTTATACGTGGTAGAGCCACGCTGCAGTTATATTAGTAGTATAGTTGTAGCACGAATGGGGCGGCTCGACCGGGGAGGACCACGCTCTCACAGAATACCACCGTGAAATAGCAGCTTAATGATGGTATGTTTCGTATGGTGAGTGTAGAGAACCGGAGACCCTTTTACTGGAAACGAGGCATTCCATCTTAGTCCTCACGGGTGACAACCCATCTGCATTTTGATTTGTAATCGAGGATAGATGTGGATGTCTATGGGCCGCAGCAACCACTTACCATCAGGTGGACTGTGTGCTCGTTTGTCATCCTATCCTATTAAAAAAAACTTTTCTTTACCACTCCCTCTCTCTAATGACATCGCGTGTGGCATGTCTGTAAATAGACCAAAAAATGTGAAACAGAAAATGGTAAACTACCTTTCGTTTCAGATTATTATTTTCGTGATTTCGATTTTCCCTTCATATTTTTACGGGAGTTACGTTTGCGGCAGCTTTTTCCTGTATTACTTTATTTTCTAATAACTTACAAGTTAACTACTGTGACGATGTGAGTAGACAGAATTACTAGACTACTTAACTTACAAACTAACTTAACTACTATTGGGCTGTCTTAACAATTATGCCTTGTTTTATATACTATGTTAAACCGTGCTGTATTTTGCTTAGCAGGCGGTAGGTGACTTCCTGACGGCAGTGTGTTGGTTATACTTAATAGTGATACAACGGAAGTATCATATCGGAAGCAGAAACGGAAACAGATATTAAAAATATTTTTTTTGCAGAAACGGAAACAGAAACGGATGCGGAAACGGAAATAATACTTATTTAATAAAAATTACAAATAAAACTTTTATTTAACATTCAAAATTAAGTAGCGGTAAGTTATATTTTATATATTAAAAGTAGGTTCGGCCACTTTTACACCTAACAATCTGTTCCAGTGTTCTTCATATATAAGTCCAGCTCCGAAAAATAATTATTATTGCTATAGCAATTATTGCTCACTGGCGATGCTGCGTACCACCTATACACCAAAGCTGGCATTGAAATTTGGGTAAACCCTTTAAAGAGCCACATTTAGGTTTAGCGAGTAGGTAATTTAGTAAAGCCTGACACGAAAGTACAACGTAAATAAACTTTGAATCCAAAATACTCATTAAAGTTTCTTTAAAAATAATTAATTCTTACCGTGACCATGGGTATCGGAAAGCACCCGAAACATCGGGTATTAAAAATAACATAAATAAACGCGATAAAATCCGTAAAAGTAGTTTTAATCAATAAAAATAATTAATTTATACTTCAAGTAAAAAATAAATAATATAAACTTCACGCAAACGTAACTGCTACCTAATTAAATTTGCAAATCAAAGGCATTTATTAAAAACTATTTTTAACTGGAGAAAACACGTTTTAACTAAAATCTGGTTTTAACTATAACACAGGTATACATTTTATAAATAAATAGGTATGCAATTCCTTGACTGACCATTTGCTTTTAGTTTGCAAAGAAAGTTTTACAGTTTTAACTAACTTCTCAAACTTAGCAAACTCTTCGGCGTTTAAGATGGTTCTTTAAAGCGGTAGTTGTGCAGCCTTTTCGCGAGTATATTTTGTCACATAATTTACATCTGGCTGCTTAATCATCAATCTCAAAATAATAGTTCCAAACGGGGCTTTTTTTTGGCTTCATGATTGCAATTAAATTACACACACGACTTAAATTTCTAATTAACTAAAAATACAATAAATCTATTTATATGTATGCGTCGCTGAGTTCCGTTCAAAATTCCGTTATAAAACTTGCGGAAACAGAAGCAGGAACGGATGTTAAAAACCATTCAGAACTTCCGCAGTTGCGGAAACAGAAACAGAGTTCTGTTGCATCACTAATACTTAAGTCACGCGCTGTTGACTTCCTGCTTGCTTGCAAGGTCTCGGTAGGTATATGTAACTCGGGCGTAAGACCGTCTAATATGCTGTAGTTGAGTAGAATTACATGTTAAATTTTATCTTGCATTATAATGAATTGATGAACAGTTTGTAGCAATAATTTTTATACTTACCCTATACAGCAACATCTTGGCGTATTTAAAAGATCGAAATCAACTTATTTACGATTTACACTGATTGATATTTACAAAATTATACTACATTTTTGTTATTTACACATAAAAATTACCTTTTTAGCAATATCGCAGTAATTGTTCAAAATGTGTACAGTTTCCTTCTAAACACAAATTAACATGCCTTTGTAAATTGTTTGTTAAACTTCGAAGTGTGTGTCTATCACTTTGTATCACATTAAACGCGTGCTTATTCTGTGTACACTAATAGTTTTAGTTCGGCTCACAGTTTAAAGTCTAGAGGTGTTAGGTCTGGTCACAGAAATACTCGTAGTAATAATAAGACAATAAAAATGAATTAGCGCTCGATTACTTCTAAAACCGATGTCGCTACATCTTAACACTACATTTAGCGACCGATGCCTGCAGCCGTATTATAAACATACGCACTAATGTTTAACATTACATTGCTTGGCGAGTTTATCAACGTCGCGTGCGTTGCGTATTACGGTAGAACAAAAGCAAGCATGGTAATTATAAATACGAAAAACAATAAATAAAAGTTTACAAATGTAAATATCATGGTAAAGTTAAAAGTAAAAGATTCATCTAGATGTAAATTGGTTGAAACAATGATAATAAGTAAATAATCAACTTACCGATGAAATGTTATGCCTTTATTCAAATTTTAATTTTA